GTCGCCCGCCCGCCACTAACCTTTCAAGCCACCACAGCGAAGTCACTGTAATGGATAAAGGGCACCCGACTTATTTATAATTCAAACAGCCCTGTGGGACTTCACTCGTAAGTAAAGGTCTGTATTCAAAGTCGATTTTGTATTGTTTTTCTTTTAGCTCTGACAGCGAAAGGCATTTAAATTAAGCATTTGATTCTGCGGTCCTGTTTTATCCGTATGCTCTACGGACAAGCGTGGTCTTTGCTGCTTTCTTTTAGTCAATGTGAGAAGATAAGGGAGAATTCAACTCGTTGAAATAGCCTCGAATAGGCTGTACAGAGAATTGACATCGTTGTGATCGTTGAAGTAATGTTCGGCTATCAGCCTAGACATTTGATCGCCTTAGAACTTTCTTCCATTTAATCCCCGTGAGTTCAATATCAATTCCTGGCACAAATATTTTATCATGTATTTTACAAATTTTAGGTTGAGAATGAAATCTAAAACCGCGCCCTCCTGAGAACACACCCCACTTGTCTCACTTGTCTTTCGGAAAATGACTTCGTTCTTTCATATAAGAGGTGTCCCTGTCGGTAATAAAATTTTCCTGCAAGTCTGATATTTCTTCAGTGGTACATTAGCGAAAGTACTGTACGCGCCAGAATTTGTGCAACATGCCGACATATCAGGTTGTGATACTGATTGTCGTGGAGTCTATTCTCAAGTTATTTCAGTCATGATAGGATGTCGGCTTTTTACGAACTTATTCCAGACCGCTAACAAAAAATGTATATGCTGTAAAAAGTAAATATATAAATAGTATGCGTTTCTATCACTGACTTTGAGTGCCTTTATAAATTCAAGAATATTTTATGGTAAACGTATACGAAAAAAACCATTTCTTGTACTCGTTCGGAAACAAATTATGCTTTTTTTAAAATTGTATGCCTAAAGAAAGGGTATTTTTGATTTTAACGAAGTTTCTAAATTGCCCAATAACTTTGAAACTTACTGGCCGCTCTACTCGAATTCAAGGTTAACAAACTGCGCACCGTGTATTTCCTGTTAAGGAGAACGTACAATTCGAGCAAGAAGTCACAGAGTTCTCATCAAATGTTGCAATAGGTGTGGATCTTGCTTTATACAGTATAGGCAACATTGATAAATTGACGGATTCGAGGTACTATAAATGAGCGCCTCAAAATCGTAAAATGGCTCATAGTCAGAATTTTTTCTAAACCGAAAGATAATCCTTCTTTACGGACAAAATTTAAAGAAGGCGTAATTAGCTACCAAACGATTACAAGAAAAAATTCTTCGTGTACGTTTTCCATAAAATATATTGGAATTTATAAATGCAGTTAAATTCAGTGATAAAAACGCATACCTTTTAAGTAGTTACTTTTAAGTAAATACGATTTTAAATGATCAGAACGAATCTCATTAGAAAGTAGGTATCCTATCATGACTGAAATAACTTCAGAATAGACTACGCGAGAATCAGTATCACAACCCGAGTCAATGCCGATTAGCGAAAGAGTATGAATCTTTCACATATGTCGGCATGTTGCATGAATTCTGGCGCGTACTATACATGAAAGCGTCGTTTCGCCCGAGCTTTTGAGGTTTCGTGCAAGTCGTTACGTTGAATAACGCTGCAGACTTTGCGGCTGCTATGTTTACACGACATGCTCGTACCACATCTTTGCTTGAAACTTTGATTTTCTTTTTATCTGCATTCATCTCTAACGTGAAGGACTACCGTTGCGCAGAAGTATCAATTTTCTTTTAAAGTACTTATAATATACTATGCATAATATGCTGTAT